ACAAATATCCACGATTCGTAACGAACATTTTTTTGTTCGTTACAATTATTAATTATTCGTCACGGGCATTTATTTTCCCGTTACAAATGAGTTTTTTTCGTAACGGTCATATATATGTTGCCCGTTACAAATACTCTGTTTGTAACGAATTTCATTATTCCTGTTACAAGTGAAGTTTTTTCCATTAGTGGCAATTTGCAACACCCACATACCACAGTTTATAGTCCTTAAAAATCTAAGGTTGCAATTTGCATCTAGTCACATTACAAATTTACTTGACCTTCCCGTGCAAGTTGTATACATCATAAACCATTGTACATCCTCCTTGACACTTTTCACATACTTAAAGTACATACAATATATATATATATATATATATATATATATATATATATATATATATATAGTAACAAGTACTCTGTAACAGAGAGTGAGGGATAACCTCATGTGGTTAGAACTCCTCTCTAGTTTTTAGAAAATTTTGAAAAATTAGAATTGATTCTCATCATCCGTCCTTATGACTCTTTAGATAAAAAAAAAATACATAATCCGTACCAACTTAAATCGAGGGAGTAACATTTGGTGGTATACCGTAGGTTCGTCAAAATAAAAAAAATCGAGGGAGTAGTAACATTTGGTGGTAGACTGGTAGCTCCTCAAAACTTACAAACAACCTTAAGTTACAACAAAAAATAATACAAGTAAACTGGTAACTACCAAAAAAATAAAAGACTCAAAAGTGTTAGACTTAATGATTTTGATGATGACACAACCTAACTTATTTCCAAACTAATAAGAGTTTGATTGTTTGAGAGTGTGATTAGTTGCAATGGCCAGGAGAATTGAGTGTCTTATGAAGATTCCACGAGGAACAAGAAAACCAGGAACAAAGTAATCCAAAAGAGAAGAGTTCCCTTACAGGAACCGGTGCTTTAGAAATGAAGACTAGAGAAGAGAAGTTTCCCCTCAAGGAACATAAGCTTTAGAGTGGAATTGAAGCTTCGCCAGAGAAGAGAAGTTCCTTCCAAGGAACAGAAGCCTCAGAGTAGAAGCTTCAGTAGAGAAACATGAAGACTAATATATTTTTATATTTTAGGATTTATGTAAGTATAAGGATAGGATTACATTTGAAATATCTGTGTGCAATTGAATTGGTCTAAAAAGATAATATGGTGCAAGCATGTTTTTAGGAAAACAGTTAGTTTATAACGTTTATCTATTTTTAACAAAAAACATTTTATTTTGTTTTATTTTCGAAATATTTTTTTACAAATAAAATATGATTTCAATTTTCCCAAAACTTGCGGCCTACTCCCCATGATCTCTTCCATATCATGGTCTTACACATTAAGGAGTTCATGCCCTTAATTTAGGACATGTTCTTTCTAGTTGGTTGGAGTAGTGGGGTTGTGGATTTGCTGCACAAAGAGGTTTTTCCCTAACGGATTTTGGTCTATAAATAGCTATTGATTTCAGTTGGAAAAACTCACCCTTGCTCAAATAGATTTCAATCTTTGTTTTCCTGAATCGAGTCAAAAGTCAATTCCACACTAGAGAAATATAGTGTTCTAATGTCCTTATGCTAGAGTTAATCTTTTCGAGTTATATTTTGGGGAATTGGAAAGTTTGAGTGAACTTCTGTTTGGGAGAAAGAGAAGTGAGAAGAGAAAGAGAATTGAGAAATTAAAGAGAATAGAAAGAGAAGTGAGAAATTAAAGAGAAGAGAAGAGTAACAGGTTGGGTGACTTATTCCTCATGGCTTTGGGTTCATTGAGGAACTCAAAGTTAGAGTCTTTAGTTTCTAATGGGTCCATTTTCCCAATTCTAGTGAAGATTATTTTCCTAAAATCCCAAGTGGTCGTGATTTTTCTCCTTAATTAGGGTCAAGGAGTTTTCCACGTAAAATCTCTCTTGCACTTTCAATTCCTTTAGCTTACTTATTTTTATTTTTGCAAAAAGTTTGACAAATCTGTCATACTACATTTCAACCCCCCCTTCTTGTAGTATTCATTGAAACAACAAAAAGTGAATTCTCTCATGGGTCATGATATACCTCTAGCATAAAAACTTAATCGCAAGATTTGAAGCTTTCTCATCAAACTCAAAACCTGCAACATTCAGTAAACAAAACCCATATTCAACCAATCTCACCAAGTAGAAAGAATCAAATTTTAAGCAAATTCCCAAGTATGGAATATTATTTTCTCTAGCATACTTTGAAGCTAGCTAGTATCATTCCTCCGATTCCATGATCACCAAATCCACCCGGGACCAGCACACATGAACCACTCTAATCTTACAGGAATTGTATTCATGCTAAGGAGTTACATTTACCAGACAAAATAATTTATCCTTTAGAAATTAATGAACATCAACTTGTGGAACAATGAGGAAACCTGAAAAAACAAGAAATTTTGAAAAAGAAAACACAAGATTAGGAAATTCTCAAGGACTTTCCAGGGTTGCTGTAATCGTTTTTTACACCAACAAAAGAGATAGCCAGCTTTGAGAATTTTTGATACCCTGATTCATGTAATTTCTCATAGCAAAACGTTACTATTGTAATATGTTCAAGTCAATTTTCGAAAAATCAACAAGATACGATATTGTTTAATTATTTCAAGTCAATTATCCAACTCTTTACATACAATGTTGAACAATTCAGAAACCCAAAATTGGACAGACCATAATACTATGAACATCCTGATTCAACCCTGGCTGCAAGAATGAGAACTAGGAATTAATCCTTTAGCGAAAATCCTAATTAAGAAAGAATGGAACCCACGAGAATGGGATTAATTAAGATGGCAATGGAAACAAATTTATAGAGAGAGAAAGGAAGAAAGAATTTTAGCAGGGAAGGAGATTAATTTCATTTATGGTGAATTGATTATAATCTTAAAGGCATATATTCATAGATCTCATTGAGCTATTACAACCATATACTACTAACTGAATAGAGTTTAGTTACAAAATATTCCTTCTGTTTAGCAAAAAAAAGGAGGGCATTCCACCTCAGCTTGCTAGCTCAGCATTCCCAACTGCTTTCTTTTGCTCTATTATGCCTTTCTCAATTGACTCTTCGACAGTCACATTGATTGTATGGACACGGCTTTCATGCCTGGGAATATCAACATGTAAAAAAAATCATAATCATGAACAAATTAGGTATGGAGTACTATAGTATAGAATAAATCACAAAAAAACACTAATGATCAAATTGAGAATTTACCATCCAGGAGCAATTTCATATCAGCTAAGATAACAAATAAAGCGAAAATGAATCCTGGCCACATTCTGTCGATTTCTTCAAACAAGGCCTCACGTCCTTTTTCGTTGAGGACAAACTTTTAAATTGCAAGACATAAAAAAATTCAGTAAATGACTATTAAATATTATTAAGGCATATTCATAAAAGAGAAAGGCAAAAAAAAAAAAATCATATTATCTGCACAAGGATATGAGCATAAACATTGCGAACAAATCGCATATAATCCAAATGATTATAATAGTTATAATTTACGTTGTTGTTAACTACACCCTGATTATGCACATCATCAATGTATGTGTGGCGCTTATATATATCCGTCCAGCAAATAAAGGTAGCCGAAGAAGAACTGGAGCCTGCTTGATGAGGAGATGGAGAACGCGCTGATGATGGAGAGCCTACTTGAGAAGGTGCAGGGCCAACTAATGGGGAGCCAACAGCCAATGTAGAACTAGAACTCACATTAACGGGAGATGGGACTGAGCTAATCATATTCAAATTACGCATAAGTTGGTGTCTAAATGTCTGACGCGCAACAGACCGTAAGTTTTAAAACTGATATGATGATGTTCCCGATAGATGAGTTGGTAATTTTCCTTAGCTTTTAAAGATATAAAAACTTCACCCTCCGTAATACCAAACATATATAACACCAATTTTTTTCCCTTCCATAGCAAAACAGAGGGTGCTCATTAAAATACCCGTAGGCATTGCTGAATAACAATTAAATAACTAATTTACAAGACGCCAACCCGATTTCAAATCATTTAACATTACTTTACCTCGGCATATCATGACATTAAACACCGACTCATCATTAAATATAATCTTTTATAACATCCTTTGTCGATTGAGAAATTGCATACAATCTAAAATCACTTTCAATTTTTTTTACTTAGATTTGAGATATATACCCACTCTCACTCCCCATTCCACCTCCGGCTCTTGTCTGAAAGGGAATGAATTGTTTCACGTTATTTGTTAATTAATGAATTATTTCACGTTATTTGTTCATTTACGAATAGTTCATATATAATTTGTTAATAATTTATATATTGCTTGATGTTATTGTTATTGCTTTATCACGCCCTTTCTTGCAGGTTTAAAGAGAATTTGTTATACTAGCATGATATAAGAAAATATGAAGCAACCTAAACATGATACTAGAAAGCAATAAATAATATCCTAACATGATACTAAGAATTAATAAAATAATCTAAGCATGCTTTATATATCAAAAAAACAATTATGAAGTAATCTAATTACTTACTTTGATATTTCGTAGCTCTTTCTATCATAACAATACACACGTTGGTAACTTTGAGAAAATATTAAATCAAACAATTAATTTAAATAATTAAAATAGGGATTTGGGACCAAACCCCTTAGAAATTGTCAAGCTTTCACGTCTAGAGCGAAGACACCTTCGAGTTTAACTAGCTGTATCTAATTCTCGTGATAGACGTATGATATTTTTAAAAAGGCTAGTCTTAATTTGAGAGAGAAAAATAAGCTTCTAACTTAGAGAGAAAGAGAATATATGATGATTGTTGATTAATGTTGGTGATTTTAAAAACAGGGAATATTGACCCTATTAATAAAGAAAAAACAACCATAAATGATAGAAAAGAATCAGAATTTTAATCGGAGTAAAATAGGTTCTGTCGCGATGTGAGTTAGCATTTGTTGTTCCTAAGAAAGTAGTCTTGCTGCACTGCTGAAAGAAACAACTATGATAATATGGGATGAAGCTTTTATGGCGTATAAAGAGAATATGGAATCATTAGATTTGTTACTTCAGGATTTATGTGAGAATAATTCCTTATTTGGTGGTAAGCTTGTAGTGTTTAGAGGGGATTTCTGCCAAATGCTTCCAATTGTTCTACAGTTGATACAACGAAAAGCAGTTCAAGCTAGAATTGTAACTTCGTACCTGTGGTCTAAGTTGCAGAAGTTTAAGCTCGCAAAAAATATAAGAGCTCGAGCTGATCCTAAATACTTTGCATTTTTGTTATCCTTGGGAAATGGTGAGTTATAACAAGTTGAAAATGGAAATGTTCCAATCCTTGTTGAAATATTGAGGCTTGTTGCAATGGAGAAATATCATGTTGAAGAAATCATGGCAGCTACATTCCCAGAATTTAAGGCAGGGGGATTTGGAAGTGATATCTTCACTAAAAGGGCTATAATTACACCAATGAATGATGACGTAGATCTGATAAATTCAGTCACGATTAAAGAATTCCCAGGAACGCCTATAGTTTATAAAAGCTATAACAATATACTTGATGAAATGTGCACTGTGTATCCAATAGAATTCATAAATAAATTATGTCCGGGTGGAATAAGTCCTCATTAACTTGTGTCAAAGAAGGATTGTCATGTGATTTTGCTTCAGAATATACTTCCTTCTACTCGTCTATGTGATTGATGTTGGACAGTATGCTGGGAAACATGTGTTTATACACCGGATTCGACTAAGACCGTATGCTTCAACAAAGTACCCTTTCCAATTTGAAAGAAACCAATTCCCAATCAAAGTGAGCTTTGCAATGACCATAAATAAATCTCAAGGGCAAACCCTAAATCAAGTTTGTGTATACCTTCCCCAACCATGTTTTTCTCACGGTCAGCTGTATGTTGCTCTTTCTCGAGCAAAAAAAACTACCAAAATAAATGTGTATACTGCAAAACCACCAGAGCAATATATCGAGAATTACATGCACTAAGAACATTCTTTCTTATGATGTCCTCCTATTAGCTGGTATTATTCATGGATCCTGATATTTATAACACTTCGTATTTCAGCAAAGGTATATACATTCATCTAACCTAAGAAATTAGATAAAGTGTTATTCTTAATTACATTAGCGTTTACTAAAGTCTGTATCAAATTATGTACCAGGTGAATTGGCATTGGTGCCTCACAGGTGTGCATTTTTGTAGTGTCATGGTTTCAATGTTCAGCTGGGGTATGGAATTTTACTACCAATAATTCGAGCAAGGACCCTTAGCTTATATATTTGAAATGGAATAGCATCTCTGGACATGAATTTTGTGACAAGATTTAAAGAGAAATAGGAATTTGATACTATTTCTTCTTAACATATTAACTGATCATCTTTGGTAAGGCCATTGTCTTTTGTATTTAGATTTTAATCCAGTGGTTTTGAATTGTTGACAAGATTTATTGTGAATTAGTGAATGTTGCATAATGGTAATATTGTTGAGAAATCTATGGTAAATACTTATCAATGTGAGATATTTTCTAAATTTATTCCAAAACACATTAGCACTACTAGCTAATACATTTTTCAGGCCTGTGTATTGATCTAAATTGGACTAAAATGGTGCTGCTTTTTCAATGTATAATCCCCCCCCCAATAAAAAGAAAGAAAGAGAAAAGATAACTGCAAATAAACCTAGGAGAATAAGGGGCTCTTTTACATGAACAATATTACGTATGACTATGTATATAATTTTCTTTTAACATACCATGGCAAGTATATTGTTATTGTGTTTTGTTTATTAAGTTTTAAAATTAAGTAGATAGCTTTATAAATAAGTGCTTATTTAAAGTGTCCTTTACAAATCTACTTTTAACTTAACCTATGGTACAAGTACTTTAAATTATGTACTTTTTTCCTTATAGGAAAAGACAACATAGTGCAGTCACTTCATTTTGTATTGTTGCTAGTTAAAAGAGCTAAATCTAAATACACACTATTGACTATATGTACTATTACTTTATTGCTTATGAAAGAGCAAAAAATCTTGCCTTTTGCTTTACACAAGCTATAGCAGTATGGTGCTACAGTACCATATCCACTGTTTTGTGCTTCTGCTTTCATATGCAGTCTAACTGCTACCTTTGTATTATGTACCAACTATTGGAGACTGAAAGTGCTTGGAGATTGAAAGTAATGTAGGATCTTGGCCTCACATCTCCTTTCGATTCACCTTTTCTAAAAAATGGTCAACTTTTATCTGTTGTGAAGTGAACTAAATAATTGCAATCAGGGTACATTTACCCCAAAACCATATAATCTGCAATATCATGATTCATAAACAATGATTTACTCTTTTCTGCAATGCCTCTTGAAATTGCAAGTATGTTTTGTAACATTGTGGAAATCCTAGACCTTTTTCTCATCTTCCATGCTTTTGGCAAGCAATTTTGCCTCTTTGGTCTTACCCTTCTCAATTTCTCATTGATGATAGGAAGTAAATAGTAGAAGAAATGTAGAGAAATTATCGAGAACTTTTGATGAACCTAAAGTTGATTGGTCATGATAGTTCTGATGTTAGTCTCCATATTCATTATTGTAGACACATGAATGTGTTTCAACAAAAACCAAACCCAGTGATGAGTACCTTTCATGTCATTGATTATCGAACGAGGTGAAATGTGAAAGAGTCTCGTGATGCATTTGTTTTTAATAAAAATACTTCTTTCTGTTTTCGAAAATACTTCTTTTCGTACCTTATTTATGGAAAATGTCCAGTCTAGTTTAGTCTGATCCATGATATGGTTCCAATAATAGTGTATTTGGATGGGGCTTGAAAATTCATTTCCAGCGATATATTATAAGCCCAATTCCGATGAATAATGAGGAAGTTATGGCCAAAATACTAAACTAGGCTCAAACCAGATTTTACCTATGACCCAATGATCGTGTGGAGGGTCTAAAAGATTTATTAGAAGCTTCTATAAGTTTCTAAAAGATCTTAATTACCCTTTTTGAAAAGATAAGATTAAAGAATTTGAAATTGAGTAAAACTTTCCTTTTTAAAGTTCTAATTCTATTTGAATTTAAAGACGTTCAAAGAAGATCAGATATTATTTTCGTGCCTCATAACTTTTACCAAAATCTTATATTATTGGATATCTCTTGAAATTATCTTCCAATGATATATTATAATATTAATTCCGAGATATAACGAAAAAGATATGAAAGAAATACGTTTATCCAAAACTGACACCCTTCCACTATTTTGGCCATATCTTTTATTCTACAAAGATTTTAATTAATCTGATTGGGTTGGAAAGTAGAATTCAAGATCTTTAATTTCCAACGACATATTATACGCCTTATTTGGACTTCTGGAGCAAAAGTTATGATAAAACAAAATCTGCAAAAAAAATATTTTTATCGTGCCGCAATAGTCCTTATCTTGCCGCGTCAAAAGATACTCTATTCCGATTTGAATTCTAATTCTTTTCTAATCGTTTTCGGTCGTTTTTCTCTATAAATAGGGTCGATTTTTCTCGTTTTTTATCATCAACAATCATCTAATTATATTTTATTCTCTCTATCCAAAAGCTAGAAGCTTATTCTTTAATTCTCCCTCTTTCTAAGCCTTCCCTTTTTAAAACAACATTTGTCCATCACGAGCCTTAGACTCACATACCTAAGCTCGAAGTTGCTTTCGCCCTAAACGTGAAAGGTTGATAATTTCTGAATGTTTGGTCCTAAATCCCTGTTTCAATTATTTAAATTAATTGTTTGATATTTTTATTGAAGTTACTAACGTGTATATTATTTTGATAGAAAGAGATACAAGTTAACAAAGTAAGTAGTTTTATTGCTCTATATTTTTATAGAAAGCATGCTTTATATTATTTTAATTCCTAATATCATGTTAAGATTGATGTTTTTATTGTTTTCTAGTATCATGTTTGGGCTTCTTCCTATTTCTTCTATTATGTTAGTATCATGTTAAGGATAAAGCTTTGATCTTTTATCGTTTAGTGACATGCTAGGATTTGTTATTAATCATGTAAGTATCATGTCTAGGATCTTGCTAATATTATTATGCTTTGATGAGATTAAGATGATGATGATGATGATGATGATTGTTATATCAATATTATTATGTTGTTTGATATTACAGTTATTGCTTGATCGTGCCCTTTCTTATAGGTTTAAAGGAAATTTGTACTTAAAATCACGCTTAATAAGATAATTAATAATTTTATTTAGGCTAGTGTGATTTTAATTAAAGTGATCGCCAATAATAGATTTGTTTGTGCATTAATATTCAACCAACATAGATTAAACAGTTTTAGGGTTAATCTAATGATTGTATGTTAGTCAGAAAGCGCACATGAATATAAGAAGAATAAAGGAGAGGTCTATTTAGGGCAGGTTCAATCTCTTTTAGGTTGGAATTGTATCTTTATCCCCGAATATCCAGTCATGGTTTAGGACCACTATAGAGTTAGAGATCTCATGGATTGTGAAGGGGTGTAACCTTCACCATGTGAACGGTTTACAAGTTTCTAAAACTTGTTGACGACACTTTTCTCTACCTTGTAACACCCCAATAATTTTCCCTTTTCCAAACCACTTACTTTAAATAAAAATAGAGGAGAACCATTGACATGTTATCGGCACGTGTTAAAACGTTAAGGCTTTATCAAAGTATTGCAGCGGAAATCCAACTTAAATCTTAAAATAACATAATTTAAAAAACCAATAAGTCAAAGCTTACAAATTGGAACCATAAAGACCCTTATTTAAAACCAAACTAATATTCAAAATCCCAAAACATAATTAAAATAGTAAAACATAAATAAGTTCAACACAAAGAACGAATACTCAAAATCACACCAATTCCTTGACAATGCGTATGTCAAATCCCCGAACTCCGCATCATCAAGCTAACCTGTGCAATACTGCTCCCCAATAATACAAGTGTAATAATTGGATCATCACAGGATCATTGAAAGGCGAAGGCCATGACAAAAAGAAAACACACAAAAACACGCAATCAGCAAATCTGAGTACATACAAGCTACAACGTACTAAACCTAGCATGCTCAACTAATTAAAATAAATAAACATATAACACAGATTAATTAATCAAGACACCACACTTAAACAATTTAGTTGACTCAACATACTTCTGACCATTTCCAAACACTCAACTCTTTATATTTAATATAATTAATTTAGTTTGGAGTAAGCAATAGACGAGGTTGTCCAATCCACCAAATCATTTTGGTCCCAAATGACCATTTAAAATAAAAGTTTAGCGCGATGCAAGAATGAGCGCGACTCCATTCTCACAAAGTTAGTCTAGGATCCCATCTAACTTTCATTATAAAATAAAAATGTAAATACCAAAAGAGAAGAGGACATGTTGATCAAACAAGCCTCGGAAAGCCACGGGCTACCACCGTGTACCCCAACCCATAATTGTCAATACTCTAGAAGTGCACACTTTCTAGAGTTTTATTGCTCATCCATGTTTCACTTTACGTGATTACAAATTTAATTAATAGCCGACTCAATCAAGTAGAACATACATAAAAATCATACATCAATTCACTTTTAATCTTATTTAGGACAATGGTGATCACATCACAAATTGACCTTTAATTTCATTAAACTTCCAAATTATCCAAATTGTTGAACATAGTCAACTCACCTAGCCATTTTGGCTTAATCCACCTTTTCTCAACATACTAACAATTCATGATTGAGTAATAAAATAAAATAACAACCTTGTGGAATAATTAATAAATTCATTCCACTTAAACCATTCAATTTCAATCCTTTAATAATCCAAATGTGGTTAACAAACCGATCCAATAAAAATATGCTTGTATCAACATTCCATACAAACAATTAATCCAATATAATTCAACATGTTTGCATCCATATAATTCCATACAAACATAATCAATTCACCAAAACATGTCTCATAAACATAAGCACATGAATTAATTAAATGTATAACCAAACAATTTTCATCCAAGTGTTCTCTAATCATGAAACTAAGTTCTTTTCTTTGGTACCTAAACATGATACTACTTACAACAAATTAGACATGTACGTACCTCGTGTAAACAATCCTTTGTGCCACTTTTAATCACTTAAAAGTCTCCTAGAGAATAATCATCTCCTAGAAAACAACCAATAATCACAAATTAACACTTAAACAAATTTCCAGCAATATAAATTTGATTAAAAGTTCTTAAAACTTCATTAAAAACATGTTTTTATGCTTAATTAATCAATAGAAATCCAATAGGAACAAAAGCCCCAATTTAATTAGTCATAAGAACCCTAAAATCCCAATTTAAATAAATTGAAACCCTAGGTTTTAAAATTATAAAATCTGAAAATTATAACAACAATTATAATCTAAAATTATTAGTTTAAAACATCAAAAACATGATTTTGATACTAAAAATATAAACTTTATACTATAAAATCAAAACCCAAAACTAATTAATCAAACATTAAGCATAAATGAAATAAAACAAAGGAGAGAGAGAGGGGCGGCAGCCACGGTGGTGGATGGGCTGGTGGGCCGGCAGGGTCGCCGGCGGCGGCGGCAGGGGGGTGCACCGGAGGTGGCTGGGCGGCAGTGGTGGTGAGTGAGGATTTCCTCACGTGAAGGAGAAGGAAAGGGAAAGAAGAAGAAAAAAAAAGAAAAGAAAAGAAAAGGGAAAAAGACGGGAAAAAAATAAAAGAAAAGAAAAATAAAGGGAAAATAAGAGAAATAAAATAAAGAGAAAAGAATTTACTAACCTTTTTGTGTGGGGAAAATTTGGGATGTATGGGGTATTTATAGGAAAGAGAGTGGTGTAGGGCAAGTTGTAAGATTGGGCCTCATAAAATTAATGAGCCAATCAAGTATGTAAAGTGAGATTGACTTTGATTGTTTGGACATGAATTATAGAATGAAGGTATGTATAAAAATTTGTACCAAAATAATTTTCGACCAAAAATTAAAAATTGAAACTTTTGAAATTAAATTCCGGAAAAATACAAATAAATATTATAAATAATATATAATTTCATTTATAATATATTTTAAAATATGGGGGATTACATACCTTCACCTTGTGAACGGTTTACAAGTTCTTAAAACTTGTTGGCGACTCTTTTGCTCTAGCTTTATTCCTTTTAGATGCCACCATACTTAAGTGTATGATCACAGTGGGGCTTAAGTGTGGTGATTGAATATCTTATTTGGTAGTGTTATTCTAATTCCAAGCAGTTATTGACGATCTCTCTAAAAATTTTGCAATGCTTGGTGAGAATAACTAGGAGAGCAAAGGATTGTAGTTAGCTTTGATAGGACATTTAAGTTGTATTATTCTATTCATTAAAGAGTGAAATGCTTCCATTGATGAATATTTAGTTGATGTCACTAGTAGAAAAAATATAATGGCAAGCGGTTCAAACCCCCTAATGGGAAGCGGTTTTGAACCGCATGCCCTTAGGGGGCTTGCCATTTGGGCTTTTAAATGGCAAGCGGTTCAGAACCGCTTGCCATTTGTAGTGAGAGGGCAGCGGTTTTGGCGCCAAACCGCTGCCCATAATGGCTTAAAAAAATAAAATTTAAATTTTTTTCACAGAAATTGATACACAAAAATAAAACATATATATAAAAATATATATTTCCATAATTAGTTGTAATATTACATTATAATTCTTCCTAAAAAAATACATTATAATTCAACACACAAAAAAAAAATTACATTATAATTCAACAAAAAAAAACTAATAAACACTATTAGAAAAAAGTCACTGCCACCACCGTAACCATCACAACCACCGCCACCATCCCACCACGCACCACCGCACTGCCACCAGCCTTTGACCGCCTTCCTTGAAATCAGCTTCAGATTTTCGCCCTAGAAAATCAATTTCACCAAAATAAATCCCAATCAATACCAAATTCAACAAAAATATTCAACAAATCAACTAATATAAACAAATTCGAAGTCAATCAAACACAAATTTCCAGAAATTAAAATATATATATATATATATATATATATATATATATATATATATATATATATATATATATATATATATAAAAACATCATCCCCCAGGCCACCATGACCTAAACCTCATCACAAAATAAAATAAAAAATCTACCAAAAATTGCTTAAAAAACAAAATAAAAGATAAAAAAACATAACATTCCTTGAATTCCATCAAAACCTTGAAATTGGCTTGAAATTTGGGTTTTAATGGTCAAATTCGACCATGAAAACTCTAGATGGTCGAATTTGACTTGAAAACCCATGAAAACCGAATTTCATGAGACCGAGAACGAAGCTCGTCGAAGTTGTTGTTGTTGGTGTTGCGGGCGTGGTTGTTGTTGGTGTTGCGGGCGGTGGTTGTTGTGTGGGCTGAGGAAGAGGAGATCGAAAAGAAAGAAAAAAAAAAGACTCACCATTTTTGTGGGTTGAGGAAGAGGAGCTCGAAAAGAAGGGAATTCATGGTTTAAATACAAAAATTCGCCATGAGAAATAAGGGAGGAGAGAGAAATGAAGGAGATCGAGAATGGAGGGGATGAAATGAGGGAAGAGGAGAGAGAAGAAGAGAGAGCGTGAGCAGGAAGAGAGGAGAGAGAAATGAGCGTGAGAAATAAGAGAGGAGAGATAAGAAGAAGAGGCGTGAGGAGGAAGAGAGGAGAGAGAACCCCTCTTTTAGGGTTTTTTAGCAAATGGCAAGCGGTTCAATGTCCAAACCGCTTGCCATTTACATTTTGGCAAGCGGTTCACCCAAAATCCGCTTGCCATTTGCTTGTTTTTTTTTTTTTGGGTGTTATTGGAAGCGGAATTCAATAACCGCTTGCTATTTGGGGCTTCTCATTACGTTTTTTCTACTAGTGTGTCAACATCTTGATTTATTTGATTTCTTTCTTATTTTCTTTACTGATTAATCTCGTTCAATGATGCAGTGTTTTTTGCCTCATCTGGCTTGTACTTCTGCAAACTTTCAAATACTAGAGGTTTAGAACAAATAAAGCATTAGACTGACATCGAAATGAACTGATTTTCATTAATATAAATAAAATGCAGGCTTTTCTGAGATAAATAGAACCAATTAGCAATTGTATGATATCTAAGTGTAACCGCCCTCTTGGACTAAGTCTGATCTCGTGAGATAAATAGTTGTGTTTTGGATTGGTGCATGTCATGATATCTCATATAGTTACGGGCTATTGCTGGCATGCATTAAATAAGCATGCTTGGTGAAGGTGGTGGAAAATTCACCTTGTGACAATTCCGAACCCTACCATTTAATAAAGATTCTCTTACCTTTCCCTTTATTTACTTTTGAGTTGTTAAGCCTCTTGACATTCTTCATCTTGCTTCTTTATGTCTTTCTATTAGTTTTTCTCATGTGAAAAGAAAAGAGAATGGGGTAGCGCATGCTTTGGCTAAATGTAGTAGAGAGTATTCTGTTATGCGGGTTTGGATTGAGGAATATCCTCTTTGTGCCCTCGCTGCTGTACTACATGAGTTGTCATGCTTTGAGTAACATTAGCTTCAATTCCTCTTCCCGTCAAAAAAAAAAAAAAAAAAAAAAAAAATGGGTGTTTGTTCGGTAGAATCTTAATTTTTTTTTTTGCAGGACATGATGAGGTGCATAAGTACCATTTACTATTCATAGTAATGCCTAATCTAATAATCTTAGTTTATGCCAGGTATTATCATATTGGTATCCACTTGTCCGTAGACATTTCTTCAATATAGTACTCCGTATTACAGTAGCTTGTATTTTTGGATAATGGCCTCATAATGGATGACATAATTTCTTGTACGAACTTCCACAAACAAGATAATATAATATGTAGCTTGATTGATTACCCTCAGTAGTTTTTAGCAGCCACTCAACTACTCAAGCTTGACCATTTCAACATATACAATAGTAATCGGAGAAAATACTAACTCCGTTTCATATTATTTGTAACGATTTGACATAAAATAGAGAGGAAAAATGTGTAATTGTTGCAAATAATATAAAACGGAGGTAGCACAACAACTTGCCCTATATAACACCCTTCCAATTTCACCAAAATCGCGCACATTTTTAATCAATAAACATGAAATCCTACTTAAAATGTGTTCTCATTTTGTTGCCTTGCTTACTAGGAATAATATCAGCTGAGCAATGTGGTAAACAAGCCAGTGGTGCACTATGCCCCAATGGCCTTTGTTGTAGCGAATACGGGTGGTGCGGGACTACCCCCGATTATTGTGGGACTGGCTGTCAAAGCCAGTGTACGCCAGTCGGTCCTAGTCCCTCTGGGTATGTTGGGTCGATTATCACCCCTGCCCTCTTTGATCAAATGCTCAATCACCGTAATGAAAATAGCTGCCCGGGTCACGAGTTTTACACCTATAATGCTTTCATTGCTGCTGCCCGTTCTTTCAATGGGTTCGGCACCACTGGAGATGTTACTACTCGCAAAAGAGAGCTTGCGGCTTTCTTTGCTCAAACCTCTCATGAAACTACTGGTTAGTCATTTAATTTGGTTCATTGCTCATAACTTTAGAAATTTCTTAAAGTTAAGATCTAACCAACACAAAAAAGACTCTTTAACAATGAATTCATAGTCAAACCTTATGCCGAGATTATTAAAATCATATGTGGTCTATTATTTAGGGATATGAATAATCTATAATTATTTTTGCTGTTGGTGGTGGAAATAAAAAAATTGCTTTATTTCTCTATCAAACAGTAATCAATCAAAACCAAAAGTGACATTTATGTGTAATAGTGATGGTTTTTATTTTGGTCAGATCAATTGCTTGTGTTAATGAGTAATCCTATTAGTTTTAATTATTCACAAAGAAACATCTTTTTCTAACCAAGTTGTATACCTATTTAGTTATTCAATTGACGCAAGTCACACAAATAAATGATTATTAAGTATCGAGTGGGTACTTGATGAAACATAATTTTAGTTCAGCAAAAATAATTTAAGGTTAATCGCTTCATACATAATAATGAAATAATATACGAGTATTAAGTGTCGTTTATCAAATAAATTAATGAATTTTCTCGTAAAGTGCTAAACCGTTTATAATAAACGCAATTTTATTGGGTGTAGGAGGATGGGCGAGTGCACCAGATGGCCCATATTCGTGGGGTTACTGTTTTGTTAGAGAACAGGGCAACCCACCACCAGCTTATTGTGACCCTGGTTCGCCATGTCCTGCTGGTAAAATGTATTACGGTCGAGGCCCCATCCAATTAACCCAGTAAGTATAAGCTTTGTTTGCAGCCGACTCCAGTTACAGGATTAAAATGTTGCAACAATATATTATTAAGACAATATAACTATTTTGTTCAATGCAATTGACTACATACATGATCGCTTATATTGTTACATGACTTGTATGTGCAGCAACTACAACTATGATCTAGCAGGTAAAGCCATAAAAGTCGACCTTATAAACAACCCGGACTTAGTAGCCACTGACGCGACCATATCATTCAAGACAGCAGTATGGTTTTGGATGACTGCACAAGGCAACAAGCCCTCGTGCCACAATGTCATTGTTGGAGGATGGAACCCGTCAGCAGCGGATCAGGCTGCAGGCCGTGTCCCAGGTTACGGCGTGATCACTAATATCATCAATGGTGGGATCGAATGTGGTAAAGGCCAAGATCCTAGGGTGGCTGATCGAATTGGGTTTTATAAGAGGTATTGTGATATCTTGGGAGTAAGCTATGGAAACAATTTAGACTGCTACTCACAGCAACCCTTTGCCAGCAACCTTTTGCTTAGTAACATATGGTATACAAAGAACATGTAATAATATCATGATAAAATAAAGTTGGTTTTTACTTGGTTGTGTTACTTTCAGTGTAATAAATCTTTGTTCTCTTGTAACTAATCCATCCTAGGAGTAATTCCATTGGATCTTTTACATGTACAAGTGCATATGTAGTTTCACTAGTTTGCAATAATATTATATCGAACAAGAATCGAGTGCATATGTACAAGTGCATATGTAGCATCTTACATGTACAAGTGCATATGTAGCATCTTGCTGTTGAGCTAACATGGCGCTATGGTGCGGTGCCACAAGGTAGTTGTGGGGCCATGGGGTGCCTTGTTAAACCAAGTTAGAAACATAAGATCTGATAGCTTTCTAATCTAATTTACGAGTAAACAACCCTACTCTAATGAACACCTTTCTAAACTATCATAACCATCTATCATGCCTAATGTCTCAATTTACGATTGGTAAATGGTACTCCCTTCATTTCATTTTATTTGCTCAAGTTTCCCCTTGATTTGTCCCATAATTAAATAGTTATGCAAAATCATTAATATAATCTCACCTTCATTATAATGGTTCATATTGAATTTGTCCCTCATTTACCCCCACCTAAAAATCAATATACTATGTACTAACAAAATTTCAATAAGTCAAAGGAAAAGGGATTCAAAGACTAATTGATAAGTACAACCTCTACCCTCTTTTTTTGTTTGTGGTTTACCTCATTAGGATGAGGTAAGTTTTTATAATTTTGATTGGAAGGAGTCAATGAAAGATCCACAAACGTGAAAGAAAATAGGGCAAACTAACTAGTAAGGGTAGTACCTTTATCTTTGTCCTAGATACATCAAGTACCTAACTCTAGCCTCTCTAAGGGCACCCAAGTTTTTTTTTTTTTTTTTTTTATGCGACCATTTTATCTGTTTTGCTCATTCAAAACATATAAAATTAGGCTAAATCGATAATATGAGAACAAAAACTCGATAACAACTAGCATAACCATTACGAGACAAAGGAATGGTTGGTTAAAACTGGTTCCTAAACAAGTTCTTTTGCCATGTAGCACAGATTTAAGAAAAATGCTATACATAACCCTTATGGCTACATATAAGCATTAAAAACACTCTTGAAAATTGTTTGAATTTATAAAATCATTACAAAATCACACCAATTAGACTGATCTACGCGTGTTTTTGTCATGTATTTCTAATTTTACACAATTTTCAAGAGTATTTTTTATAGCATTACCCAAGATTTAATTAGAAGGGTAATGTTATATGCAGCCTTTAGCTAGGGCTGCATATAAGCATTTAATATCCTTCCTTCTTAAGAATTAAGTTGGAAATTTATCAACAATTCACAAGTAAATCAGAGTAATAAATGTTTATTAATTGTTAATTTTTTCCACTTTTAGTTTTTTATATGAAGCCTTAACTCCTAAGGACATTTTTTTTTTAATATAATTATTTTTTCCTTTGCACATCTCTCTCAAGTGGATACAAATTTACTTCGTCTTACACAAGTCCCCTAAACCCAAATAAGACGAGGGGAAGAAGAAGCTCATCAAATTACAGTCTTTAACAGCAGATACCAGATTACAACAAGAAATTCAGATTGTTGAGATTCAAAGCGACGATAATGATCTCACAGTTCTTCGTACTCTCTCAGCGAGGCGATAACATCGTCTTTCGAGATTGTAACTTTCTCTCTCCTCTTCTAGATCTGTTAATCAGTCAATTTTAATTGAATTTAATCTAAGATCTGTGATTTAATTGTGATTTTTTGTGTTATATTATTGTAAGTTTCTACGACCTAATCGATTTCTAATAGACTTTGATGGTTTTTAATTTTGATTGATGTAATCCGAATTTTTTTTATGGATTGTGATTATAATTGATTTCTGCATTTGCGGAATTGTTATTTATATTGTGGTTAAGCTGATTGATTGAGTTATTCTATGATATTTAATGAAGAAGAATTGCTCGAATTTGGTTGATCAGTCTGTTGTTCAATTGATTAGTCAAGTGGTTCAGATTTAGCGGATAGATTTCAGTGTGATGTGGTAAGAAGCGTCCTTTTGTCATGCATTGTGTGTATTGTGATGCGAGAAGTTGATTTTGGATGATTGCATCGAGGTTTCGGAGAGTCGTTAGTAGATGGTTATTAGTGAAAGATTATTTGGGTTTTATTTTATGCGTAACGAGTTGATGTTAATGATCAGAGGCTCTTTGTGATCATTCATAAAGGATCAAGTTTTACACTTGTGCACTTAAGGAAATAATTTGGATAATTTGGCTTAGGTTTGAATTTGGATGCTTCTTGAGAGATAATAGTAGATTAGGTAGTATGAGAAGTTTGGGAACATAGTGTCTCAACATCTGCTCATTCCCCCTTGTGATCTAGATAGTTCGAAATTCTCGATACACTTACATCCTGAAGTTATATTTACTTTCTTTCATGATTTATCTGGTGAGTTTGGAACAATAGGATTTGGGTTAACTTTTTGGAATATATAAGGTTCAGCTGTTCAGTTCATATCAGTCTTTGAAATACATGGTTTAACAGTTAGGCACTTAGGCTTTTGGTCTTACCAACCAAAAAGTTTATCGGTTTATATATTTGTGTGAAAGACAGATGCCTTGTGTGGCTTGGGATGATAGTGCTCTTTTTTCTATTGCTTAGCTTCTTTATCTATCTCCTTGGAAGACAGCCTTTGTGATTTCTCATCACTAGTTTTCTATTTTCTTGGCTTGAAGATGTTCAGCGGTCACTTATGGGAGAGATGGAGGGTGAAACCTTTATTGGGATGGAGAGAGTGTATACATAGACAAGAAAAGGTATACATCAGTCAATGTAATTAAGGGACCCAAGTAGCAAAATCAACCTAATATCCATTGAATTGCATAAGGAAATATGCTATTAACTAAGAAACACGCTCTTTATATGGAGTTATGGATGCTATTATGGTCGGAAAAGTATCATGTGTCTGCATTAATTACATGTCTTGGATTTGTATTGCATTAATTACATGGTCGGTTAAGTATCACTGTGCTTGGTTACTATTGTTGGAATGGTAATATTTTACACGACAAGTTTCTTTTTTTTTTTTTTTTTTTTTTTTTTTTTTTTTTTTTTTGTCCTTTGGTCAAGTTTAAGTTGCAACCTAGATTTGGGGCCTCATCTTGCTTTATAAATAAACTTAGTTTTCTGAGACTTGGAGCAGTCCATCTTATTTGTCTCTTTTTCCATGGCTCTTCATGCTCCAACAGGCCAACTTCAAATCACATGCTTGATAATGGCTATAATCCACTAATTCCTAAATTTGGCTGTATATTTCTTCCAGTGCTTTGTTTTGTTAATCCTGTTATTGCTCACCAAATGTATTGTTTTCTCAGTCTTCCCCTGTCTTCTGGCAAGGTATCATCACATATATTGATTGTAGGACGGGGCATTTGCATGTCCTTTTGTGAAATTGGAAGTCAATATAAAGAGAAAAAGTAGTAAGGGATATTAAATGTGAGAGTAAAATAATTGATGTGATCAAGAGAAAAGTTAATTAATAATCAATAGGCCTCAAATATTCGTGGGAGAGGTTTATATATATATATATATATATATATATATATATATATATATATATATATATATATATATATATATATATTATATCTATTAAAGTAACATAGAGATTATTTAGGGTAGACTGCTGACCAAAAATTGTTGACAGGAGGATTCCTTTGGGACAGGAGATATGGAGTATATTTTTCTTCTAAATAAAATTAAGTCTGTCTAGTTGTAACTGATACTGTAACTGTGCTGTGATTATGGCATGCAAAAGAACCTTTGTTTGTCAATTCTTGTAGATATATATTGATGTTGTGCTTTCATATGTATGTTTACACAGATCGTGGGGATGTGCCAAAGGGAAGTACTGAGATCTTCTTCCGTAAAGTTAAATTTTGGAAGGAAGATGGCGAAGAGGAGGCACCTCCTGTCTTTGTAGGTATTCTTTTTCTCCTTCTCTCCCCTCCCCCAATAATAATATGATATTGTGAAAAATTATGGTCATATGGTGCATCAAATAGAGGGTCTCTAGTTTTGGTTGGGACATTTTTTTTGTGCTCTACACACACACACAGACAGCTGTACAAGTAGTACAGTATAATGAGCCAAATTGAGCTAGTCCATTATAATTGCAAAGCAAGACTAGTAAATCTTTGACTCATGTGAATATGAGTGTCATATACGTATATACGTGCATATTGTATCATTCTTCCAGGCTGATAGGGCCCCCTATCAATCAGCTTCCAATAATTTTTACTTATTACCAGCCAGCACCTTATATATCTACTTATAAATTGTGGCACAATATAACCTTGCTCATGTCTGTTTATACTTTATACAATTAACTCAAGATAGGAACAGATCATATTTAAAAGGATTAATGTATCATTCTTAATCTCTCTTGGTCTCCGTGTACCTCTTTACTCCAATCACATCTCTTCCCAATAATTCTAACCATTTTGTTACAAGTAGGTTGTTCTTTCCCATGCTTGTTTGAGCATGCATGAAGCTGTAATTTAGCTCTTGTTTTAAACAAATTCTAACACCCTGTCCATTTAGAACTAGAGAGTAGAGACGTAGCGGTCAGGACGAAAATGTCACTTAAATAAAATACTTTAAAACTCAATTTAACGCGATAAAATAGATTGAAGCTAGTCCACTAAACAACCAAAACAGAATATAGGGATTTATTTATATCCAAAGACTTAGAGTACTCATAACAACTGTTGAGGCAGAATAACCTCAATTGGAAACCAAAGTTTAACAAAAATTCACATAATAACCACTAGGTAGTAAGGCTTTCAATCACCCTCATAGAAGTCATCCACTATAACTAAGAGTAGGGTTTGGGAGAACTGCTAGTCGCTCCCCAATGACTGGGAATCAGGGATTATTCATGTTGTTGTTATATGACCCAATCCCTACTCTTAGTTATAGTGCCTTGGGGTTTTTTGCCTTCTGTTTCTTTTGCCCACACAATTGTATTCTTCATTCTATTAGGTTTAGAAGCCCTTACAAGGGTTCCCATGCTTTGCAGTCATGCCCAGTGCTTGACGATACCTAAAGAAATGTAGTATTCAATTAAGATTCCCTTTTTCGTAAAAGCTCTACCATTTGATTCCCTACACCAACAAATTCTGCTGTTCAGTAGTGCATTCATCCAAATCTTCATTTGTTCAAG